ACCCTTCATTTGCATTTCTGTGTCTATTTAATAGTTAATCTTTCGCTAGGGAACTGGGTTCAGGAAGGACAGCAACCGACAAGCAAATCATGCACACACAAACAGACCAAAATGAGCATGAAATTACTGGGTTTAACAGACATTTATATTACCGCACCAACTGCTATACTGCGTGGCTGACATTTTCAGGGCATGAATTGGCATTTCTTAGGCACTTACAATAGAATGCATAATAGGCCACAGCAGCTATTTAAAAAGTGTTTTTTTTCCCTCTACTGGTAAACAGCATTTTTGTTGAGCACTGTGATATGAAACCCGAAGACCAGCTTCAAAGCACCTAAGCGCAAAGACAAAAGCACAAAGCAAATAAAACAAAGAATCTCATATTCAACCATGCACTAAAAGTGGTGAGCTAGTTATACATGACAAACATTTTTTCTGTCAAGACTGTGTACTTGTTTCTTACCAGAACAAACAGATAAATATTTGTGGATATGGCGAATGAGTTCAGCGTAATAGACAAACCACCCTTCTAATCACACTTCCAAAAGCTCTTTTTCATTTTTCTCCTCTTTTGATAGCTCTCAGTTTCTCTGGACTGGTGTGATAGCAATTGGCAGAGCATATAAAACGGAGTAAACAAGATTGGGATCTTATTATGAGGGGCAGAATTTCATTTTGATGGTCTTTAAAGCACACTGCTCTCCCCTCTTTCATCATACTTGGTAGAGCCAGAGAGTTGCACACAGGAATAGATACTGCCTTTTCACATTTCATGTTTTGGCAAAGCCTGTAGGCCACTTGTCTTGGAGATTTTGTGCTCTCTTCTTTCCTTTTAAAAAAAAAGCTGTTTGGTCAGACATGGAACAAACTGCATCAAATTAGATTTTGTCAAAATTCATTAACTGTAAACCACTGCTAATAGGTGAAGTGATGGTGTGGTGATTGTGGTGGTCACCCTTGTCAAGCTGGTCTGCCTGCTGTCATAGATGCTGTTCCACTGGCTGAATATCACTGCTAATATCACTTTATGAAACCTGGTCTTAAACAAGAATGTGTTAAATAAGTTGATGTTACACTTTCACTGAACAGTACCTAATGAGTACTTCACTACAAAATGAGTAGCTAAACAGTACCAAGTGTGTACTAACCTACATAAGAAGAAGCGAAACAATACCTAGTGTGTACTATACTACCTAATGAGCAGCTAAAAAATACTAATGAGTAGTATACTACCTAATGAGTACTGCAGCAGTTAAACAGTATATAATGAGCACTATACTTCCTAATAAGTAGCTAAACTGTGCGTAATGAGCACTATACTACCTAATGAGTAGCTAAACAGTGCCTAATGAGTACTACACTACATAAGGAGCAGCTAAACTGTACCTAATGAGAACTATACTACCTATTGAATAGCTAAACTGTACTTAATAATCACTATACTACCTAATGAGTAGCTAAACTGTACCTAATAAGCACTATACTACATATTGAATAGCTAAACTGTACTTAATAAGCACTATACTACCTATAGAGTAGATAAACTATACCTAATGAGCACTATACTACCTATAGAGTAGATAAACTGTACATAAAGAGTACTATACTACCTATTGAGTAGAAAAACTGTACATAAAGAGCACTATACTACCTATTGAGTAGATAAACTGTACCTAATGAGCACTATACTACCTACTGAGTAGATAAACTTTACATAAAGAGCACTATACTACCTATTGAGTAAATAAACTGTACCTAATGAGCACTATACTACCTACTGAGTAGATAAACTATACATAAAGAGCACTATACTACCTATTGAGTAGATAAACTGTACATAAAGAGCACTATACTACCTATTGAGTAGATAAACTGTACCTAATGAGTACTATACTACCTATAGAGTAGATAAACTATACATAAAGAGCACTATACTACCTATAGAGTAGATAACCTATACATAAAGAGCACTATACTACCTATTGAGTAGAAAAACTGTACATAAAGAGCACTATACTACCTATTGAGTAGATAAACTGTACCTAATGAGTACTATACTACCTATAGAGCAGATAAACTATACATAAAGAGCACTATACTACCTATTGAGTAAATAAACTGTACCTAATGAGCACTATACTACCTATAGAGTAGATAACCTATACATAAAGCACTATACTACCTATTGAGTAGATAAACTATACATAAAGAGCACTATACTACCTATTGAGTAGATATACTGTACATAAAGAGCACTATACTACATATTGAGTAGATAACCTGTACATAAAGAGCACTATACTACCTATTGAGTAGATAAACTATACATAAAGAGCACTATACTACCTATTGAGTAGATATACTGTACATAAAGAGCACTATACTACATATTGAGTAGATAACCTGTACATAAAGAGCACTATACTACCTAATGAGTAGACATACTGTATCTTTTGACCACTATACTACCTAATGATTAGCTAAACAGTCCCTAACCTCAATTGGGTGACGTCAGGGTGGACTTGGTGGGTGTCGGTTGGTGTGGGGGGGGGGTGCAAATCTGTCTACCCCTGTTTACACATAATTGGGGGGATGACACAGAAACCATGTCCTACTAACAGACCCCACTGAGAAGACTCTGTGGCCATGTAGGTAATTAGCTCCATTAAATTGCTTTCACACTTCACACACACAGATGTGGCACCTATGTATTACTGTGCTTTGAAGTCCTCCCTCTCCCAACATGCTTCATATTCACACCTAACATGATCATCCTCAGGATCAATCATCTCCACACCCCCAAAGGACAATTATGTTGCCTTTCCAAAAGCCCAGCAGGCACCACAGAAGCTGCTGAGGGCACCACTGATGTGTAATTTGTGTAAAGCATGAAGAACTCTCTAGAAGGAACTTCACTGCCTATAAAGCCCAGAGCACACGACCCACCAGCAAACACCAGCAAGCCCAGACCCATTGGCTGATGTATCATACTAGCATGTGATTGTTCTTTCCATGTTCCGCCCACAGGTTTGTTCTGTCATAGCAACAGTTGCTAGGTAGGACAAGCTTTGTCACTGAGCACTGACAACAATTCCATTTAACCCTAGAAACGACATTTTTTTGTAAAAATACTGTTACGATGACAATAGACTGGGTGTGGTGTTTTTCTCCTGCAATTGCTAATGTTTGCATGTTAGCACAATGAACTTGCCAGTGAATTTGCGTAACTTCGATTAGCTATAAAAACAAGGTCCGGCTTAGTAGCCTAGCATTTTTAACTGGTAATTCTACGTGTACTGGCCAATGATGGTACAATACCACATCTAATTATTTTTTAATTATTTAAATATAGCTAACAACAAGACATGACACAATGTGAGATTACAGGACTGGATGAGATTCATTCTTTATGTCCCTCCAATATCCAGTCCAGCATTTTCAGCTGATATCGACCTGATACCGATCTCTAGTAGTGGCACTAAACAAAGTGCACTATAACTTCTCATTCAGTTAAATGGGATCTTTGCCAGTGTTCTGTAAAGCTTCATAACAGAAAAAATGCATTTGTGGGCGGAGCATGGATAGGTAAATTTTTTTACAAGTCTCTAGAATGTTCTTCTCCTTTCACACAGGTTCATTTGGGTTTTCATTTCTTATTCTGGAGAAGTATAAAAGGGGAATGTACTAGGAGGAAGACCTATAGCATTGATACTAGTCTTTAGTGGTGCCTCTACCTGAGACTGACAGATACACTATAATAAACACAGCAGACTTATGTACCACGCTCTGCTGGAGGTCTTTATAGAACTCCCTGCCTTCATCCCTACCGATGTCATCAGAACCGTCCCAAACGCTCCTTGATCACGGGTCTTCTAACTCTGTGTCAATGGGGGTCGTACACTGTTCAGGCAGTCTCTGGCTGGAGTTGAAATAAATAATGTCAGTTGCCTGAGTCAACCTTCGACTTCAAACAAGAAGCAGTCGTTGAGTGACACCGCCAGCCGAGTCTTGGGTGAGGATGCTGTCATCATCCAGCCTGTCAGGAGCTGCTAATATCAGCGGGATTTGGAGCGCACCAACGCACCTCTCGCCTTCACGCTCCACAAACACCATCCCTTTTGATGTTAAAAGATTCTTCATGTTAAGCAAATCATACTGTAATCTTCCCAACAATGCGACAGCCAAGCCTTCTAATGTCTCTTTCGGGGATCAGAAGAATATCTGATTTGCTCGGTCTGATAAGTGAACATGCTTAAAGATGAAAAGATACTAGCTTTCTCACGTTCTACTACATTTATTCCAATTAATTAAGATTGTGTAACCACCATGAACATTTGATGAAAATGGATTACATTTGATGCTGCTTCTATCAAAATGTGTTAAATGTGGTTAGCAAAAACGAATAAGAAGCACAAGAAAAGGAAATCTGTCTCATTTATGAAACTGCAGCTCACCGATGTCTTAAGAGCATAACAGGCTAATAGAGCTGGCATAATTGTATACCAGTGATCTCAAACTAAGAGCTAATGTCCAGCCCAGTTTGGTGATTTTCACGTTCAAACACAATTTCCATACCTGGTAATCAACAAATGAATTTGGAGTATGAATCTGAGCAAAGAAATTCACAAACTGTGCCAACTTTCCAGGACTGAACCTCGAGACCCCTGATACTGAATACTGGACATTCACTGCATAACTTTTCACTGTTTCACTCCTGTAGTATGTCCATCAGGTCCTCTTCACAGCTAAGACCAAGCCAACCAAAGCATTACTGTGACCTTTCATTTCTCGCTCGGTTTTCAAACACCTCGCCGTGTTATCTCTTATCTCTCCTTGTTTCACGCTGGTCCGTCGTCCAGCCAGCCTGTTTTCTACAGCATGACTGAAATGCTCCATCTCACCAGACAGCGTTAAGACTTGCTAACGGCTAACAGGTGACCGTGAAAACAGCACCATCACGCTAAATTTACCAAAATATGTCACAGAAAGAGACTTACATGCGTACGTCATGGCAAAACTGCTGCCCGTGTCGACCATGTCCACCTGTGGTACCAGTTTGGGCACCTCCTGGTGCTGAGAGAGCGCAAACCGAAACACTTCATACTCGTGGGAGTCGGTCGGGAACAGACCCCCTGCAGAGATAAACGGAAAAATGGAGCCGTTCAGGAGAAAGCGAACACAAACAGGCTCAATATAATAATAAAAGCATATGTGCCGAGCACGCTGACACAACACAATAATAAACTAAATATTTACTGTAATATCGAAACGTCCACTGTGGTTAAAAACCCCACTAAAGTAAAGTTACGTCCACTCTCGTGGTCTCCGTCCACTCTCTATCCCGAAACTTCCGAGGCGCGCGCCTGTGAGAATCGAGCAGATTCGCGCCGCGCTCGAGCCTCCTCTACTCACCTATGTTGATGTTACTTGGGAAACTGGAGCTCGAGCCGAGCCCGAGCAGGCCGGTGAGGAGGAAGAGGAGGAGGAGGAAGAGGGCCGAGCTTCGCTGCATATTTCCTCGTGCATCGGCGGCGCAGAAGCAGCCGGGGTTCGCGCATGTATCCCGCCGAGCATCCGCCGAGCCCGGCCGCGAGCAGCGCGCGAGAGACAAACTCGAGCTCCCTGCGCCTTCCTGCGCCTCTGTCACTCTCTCTCTCTTTCTCTCTCTCTCCCTCTCTCCACTCCGCGCGCGCGAAAAAACGAAGCGCAAGAGCGAGGAAATTGCGCGCGCCCGCACTTCGCCGCGCAACCCCGAGACCACGAAGAGAGTGAAAAAGGTGCGAGCAGTAAAAACGGGGTCACGCGCGCTTTATTCACCCAACACCAACACCGCGAGCGCTGCTTAGGCAGGGAGAGGGATACTGGGAAAGGACAGCTGCGCGGCGCGCGATTTATTAGGAGAACCGAGCAGACTGTACCATTCACACAGACAGACAGTACACGTGAGAGACTGTGTTCAAAACAACAAACACATATTGGTATTATTAGTAGTAGAAGTACTGCTAGTAATAGGGTAGTAGTAGTGGTCTTAGTAGCAGACGTAATAGGCTATTACAAGTAGTAGAAGTTGCCTAAAATTATTATCTGTAGTAATAGTAGAAAATCAGAAGCAGTAGTAGCAGTAGCCTGTTGTTATTATCACTATTGTTATTATAATTGTAGTATTAATAGTAGCAGCAGAACAAGAAGTAGTGGTAGTAGTAGTGATACTGCTAGTAGTGGTTGAAGTAAGAGTAGTACTGGTTGTAATCATAGCAGTAGTAGCAGAAGCAGGAATAGAAGTAGTAGTAATAAAAGGAGTAAAAGCAGTAGTAGTAGTAATAGAAGTAGTAAAAGGAATAGAGGTTGCAGTAGTAATACATGTAGTAGTACTAGAAGTAGTGGTAGGAGCAGGAATAGAAGTAGTAGTAGGAATAGTAGCAGTAGTAGGAATAGAAGCAGTGGTAGGGGCAGGAATAGAAATAGTAGTAGTAGAAATAGTAGCAGTAGTATTAGGAATAGAAGTAGCAGGAGCAGTAAGAGGAATAAAAGCAGCAGTTTTAGGAATAGAAGTTGCAGTAGCAATACATGTAGTAGCAGTAGTAATAGAAGTAGTAGTAGAAGCAGTAGCAGTAGGAATAGAAGTAGTAGTAAGGGTAGTCATAGAAGTAGCACTAGTAATAAGAGGAATAAAAGCAGTAGTAGTAGAAATAGAAGTAGTAATAGTAATAGACGTGGTAGTAATAGAAGTAATAGCAGTAGTAGTAGGAATAAAAGTAGCAGTAGTAAGAGTAGTCATAGAAGTAGCAGTAGTAGTAGGAGGAACAGAAATAGTGTATAGTAGTATATTAGTGTACATTAGGGAAGTGTATAATAGTAGGAATAGTAGTAGTAGTAAAATAAGTAGTAATAGTAACAGAACTAGTAGTAGGAGGAATAGAAGCAGTAGTAGCACTTGAGGTGGTCTCCTTCCACCCTACTCCAGCATTGTTCTGGATTTCAAGGTGCGTTCTGACAGCAGAGAATCCTTTGTTAGATGTTTTCTTGGATACATATTTAATGTTTCCAAGGGCTGATATTGTCTGTGTAACATCTGTTCCATGCAGCAAACCCTCTTACGTTCTTTGTTTCATACAGCAGAAGTTCATGGTGTTTGGTATTAGTGTGTCAGAATATAACATTGTAATGCCTTTTTCTAACAAAATGACATGGTTGGAAAATGGATACTATATTTATCTCATTTTGAAATAGAAGCTGGGGATGCATCTTCCCCAAAAAGGATTGTTCTGATCAAATCATTACTATTTTTACTATACTTGTGAGCAGTTAAACCAAAAATCTTATATACCTTATGTTACAGGATAAGAATGCTCCCCATGTAATCTAACACTTCACAGATCATACAAGGCTGATATAAACAAATGCAAAGATTCATAGCAAGCATGTTTACACTCTTAAACCTTGAATGAGTTTTCAGGACTTTTAATTAAAAAAAGGGAATTTACTGAGAAAACACAGTAATTCCTCTGTTGGAGATAAAGCCACCTCTCAGTCCTGTGTGTCTACTATTCCAGTCAATATATCCATGCAAGCTACGCATGGGAAATATTTTGGGTTTAAACTGAGCCGGGGCTCAACATGGGCAAATTAATGGGTTGACAATAGATGCTTTTTGCAAGAGTTGATGGGTTGCTATGGGCAAACATGAGCATTTTTTTCATACCAACTGTGAGGATGGACAAGCTTTATAAGAATATTGTATATATTTTTTCCAATATGTAACATTCAGTCTCTGATTTAAAATGCTTTGCTACTGGGATTAGTTGTAACTAACTGAATCTAGGCAAGTGGTAAATGAAAATGTCATATAATTAGGTGGGCGATTACATGACAATAAATAAATAAATAAATAAATAAATAAATAAATGAAAACTGTACAAGACACTCTAAATGTAAGTATTTTGACAAAAACTCAGTTTTGCATTACAATTTCTCATTAGCTTGAATGAAATGCTGGTTTTGTAAAGCTTGTCCAGTCTAGCAGCAGTTCTTAAGAGAAAGCACTGATAGGTCAGTTGTGTTTAGTGTTTCGGTCACTGGGATGTAAAAGGGCAAAGTCAGTGGGCATGTTTGTGTTTCACTAGGGCTAACGATTAACAGAATTTTAAATAGGAAAGGCTGTAAAGACCACATCTATAGGTTCAAACTAAAAGCAAATGAATAAACTATAAAGATATGCAGCTAATATTTTATTCCAATATAGCATGAATTCCAGAATTATTTGCAAGAAGGACATCTAACTGCTGCCCAGCAGACCCAGCCCCTTTGCTTAGCTAGCAAGCTACATAAGTTAGCTAGCTAGCTAGCTAAAGTGCTGAGGAGCTGACATTAACATTAAATGTAGGTCAGTTTTTCTTTGGTATTTGTTAGCACAACTATTATTTTCAGAGAAGGTATGCTGTAGTATCCCTGCTAGAAAAAACAGCACAGATCAACATAGCTAGTCACAAGCAAAAAAAAAAACTCCAAAGAAAACAAGTGTATCCACCAATGGTCATTTGATACAGCAAAAATGTTCTTACCCTTTAGTGTAAGTTAATGTAACATGAGCAATTTTGAAGCATTTCTATTGGTCCATTCATCATGAAATTTCAACACAATGTAGAGAGCAGCTGCTGAGCTGAAATGAAAAACAATGACAGTATGTTGTGTTTTGGATGCTGTCATGATTGTCAACCAGCATAAACCAGCTTAGATCTGCATAAACCAGCATGCAGTGCAGACACATTATACAATTACATAAGGTTGAATGACTTAAAGTCACTCTTTTGGTGTGTGCTAGCTAGCTAACTTGCTAACGTGGTTGAGAGTGTGGCTAACTCTCTTTCTTATGCTGACTCTAAACCTCCCCCTTTTGTTCTGAACATTTTGCAGTAGCAAATGTGGTTGGGGAAGTAATTAATCATAACCCTAAATGTACCATTTTTACCTTATGGTTAATATGAGCTACCTTGCCAACATTTTAGCTAGATAGCTAGTTGGCTAACATTTAGTCAAGCTGGGGTTTCTTCTACCCAAAGGTTTTGCCCAGCCTGGGGCTTGGTCTGCAGAGCTGCTGGATGCTACTGGGACTATCTGTCTGTCTGAGGTAAAGTCCAGACCGTCAGCTTTGCTAAAAAGGAGACAGAATTTCGAAATACCTCTGATATAAACAATATTATAGTAACGAAATATTAGTCCATTCATAATGAAATGGTCACATAGCATAAAGAGCAGCTGCATTTATTTAAATGGTGTAAAAAGTAAACGGTCATGAAAGAGTCATTGCACTGAAAAGCACTGAAGAGAAGTGTTATTGTGCCCATACTTTTGTGTCCCAGTGTATGGCGACAGGTACCACTTGTGGGTTTGGGTTGTAAAATTGTGTTGGAAGCACAATATTGTATTGTTATTTCTGAACTTTGTAGGAGTAGCTGCTATCATTCGTTCTGAAGGAATAAGATAACAATTTGACCAGCTCTGAGTGTTTAACTCCAGAGTTGCAATAATGACTGTAATGTATGAATGTCTTATAGTAATAGGGTAGTTTATTCAAGTTATGCCCCAAAGTAGTGAAAAAGAATCAATACATGTATAAAATGCACTACACAAAAACAAAGCTTTAACACTTTTACATACAAAAATATTGTCTGATCTTTCTATAACAAAATGATGGCGGCAATAACCCATGTTTTTGCATTCCACTGATGTTATAGAAAAACAAAGTTAGAGGGTTGCCAATAGCAATTTTCACATCTGTCTTCATAAAAACATCATCAGCATTCTGCGCCTCTGCGTCGCAATGCATTGTTTTGCACAGATTGCACTGTGACTCATAGATAGCACGGCAAGACGGGACTATACAGAGAAAGAAAACAGTGTCAGACAGATGTAACTACATAACTTTGTGGATGTGAGACCAGCTCTACAGTCTGTTGTTGTAGCATCGCTTATTTCATGGGTATGACTGCTAGAAGAGAGTACACATGAAAAAATATAAGATTTAGGACTGTACCTAATATGAGGTTTGGAAATATAATGTGGTGTGCTGTATCCTGTGTTTCAACAGTTGTGGCACAAGACCAACAGTGCTTTGAACGACAAAGGTATTTCATACATAAGAGCTGACACTTTCATGAAAACATTGTCTTTTTTCGTCTCCATGTTCCTTCTCCAAATATATATTTTATGTAAAGAATTGTTAAGTGAACTTACACAAAGTAAATGCTTTTATTGCCACAAAATGAGTTCTGGCCAAACAGGCCAAATGGAACATTTTCACATGTCCACAATATTAAATCCATCATCCTTGACAGTGTGGACAAAATGAAATATGTATAGCACAAGATGCCAGTACTTCAACACAATGTTTTGAACAAGACATAAAGTTTAGACTTTTTTTTCTTGGAGAATGAAGGTGCTTACAATTGTGTTAAAACCACACTCTGGAACCAGTTTTCTGGGCTAGTAAACAAAGAACAGTCTAGGTTTGTAGTTTTTTTATGGGCTATAGATATGGCATGTTTGGATAATTAATTCTTTAAAATAAAGGTTGGCTTAAGTATGTAGTATAAACCTTTAATT